ATCCTGACTACTACTACTCCTGACTGCTACTACTACTACTACTACTACTACTACGACTACTACTACGACTACGACTACGACTACGACTACGACTACGACTACGACGACGACGACGACGACTACTACTACTACTACTTGAGACCAGGGTCCACGTTGGAGACTTCGCATGTGTACACGACAACATGGAAGCCCCTGCTGAGAAGCGTCACCGTGAGCCGACAAGCAGCAAAAAGTTTCACGACCCGTCTCATACGCAATAGTGGCGGTATGACGGCAACATCCATCGTCAAGACAAGCTGCGTCACAGCACACTACCTTGTGCCGAGAAGCCCGAGCAAGTAGCAATTCCGCAAAGCTAATTCGTACACGCAACGATTCGTTGTTCTCTGTAGCTTGCGTTATGCTGCGCTATGACTTCGAGCAAGAGGCCAGGTGTAGGCTTCGCGAAATCACTGCTTGTGCATGTCAGCATGTGCACTGATCGTTGTATCGACGAGTGTCGCACCATAAGCTGCAGTTGCATGGCTACTTTATGTATTATTGGGCTGAGTTCGGTTCGTCGCTGTGAGGACTTCGAGAAGCAGATCAGAGCTACAGCTTTTTCTTGCACAGATGATGCACAGCCCTGAGTTTGCAGTACATTCGTTGTAGCTGCTACATGCTTTGCACTGTCGCCTGCATGAAGAGAAGCCCAGGCTGCGATTTCCGACTTGCGGCAGTTTTTGAGATCGAACACAATTGGCCCGTAGCCAAGCTACGAGCATGCAAGGTTTGTGTTGCTTCCATGCCGTGAAATCTGTTAGGCGGGTAGAGAAGCCTGGACCTGCAGCTATTTCCTCTGTAACAAAAACTGAAGCCGCCAAGGGAGAGGCCCAGGTCAACAAGATGTCGAGGGCATCAGCAACAGGAGGGAGACCGCATGTTTCCACAAGTTTCAAGGCGACGGCTTGGTGAACAAGCAAAAGGCGGTGCGCAGAATTAGCTGGCGTGACCAGCTTCCAGAAGCGACAGCCACGTGTAGGGTTGTGCCAAGCATATGCAGTCTCACCTTGTCAATGATTTGCACTTTCCTGTGCGGGTAAGGCCCCCACCAACCATAAATTGATCATAGATGAAGAGAATCGAAAAATCTTCCAATTGATCTAGAGATCAGAGGTTTCCAACCGCACTAAAGTCTCACTGGCAGTATGCAGCGAACGTCAATGGGCCACGGTTATTGCACAAACCACTCGACGGCCGAACAATTGTGGTGGTTGGGGAGTGCGGGGGATCAGCAACAAATTTGTCGGCACACACCAGCTCGAAGATCATCGATCCTATGCTTGCTCACGGCCGGGCAGCACTTCCGTTACAAGGAATCTCATCAGCAAAGGCTGGGCTTCAGGGCTGCACCTGGCCTGAAAAGATGCCCAAAGCAACCTCGATCCTTTTTCTATGCTTGCCTTGTGGAAAAAACCCACTGCACGAAGCACGGGGCTTTTGACTCTCGGGACGGGAAAAGACATGGCTGCAGCATGAGCATCTGTCCGTTCACTGGAGGCATTGACCATGTCGTTAAGACGCCCTTCGGGGTGCGAAGACTGGCCTATGGTGACTTCACGGCGTCAGGAAGATCTTTGAGATGGATCGCGACTTGCCTGGAGCATACGGCAGTTCGAGAAGTTCGAATCGCTCTGAGATGCTATGATGCGACTGCGAGAGAAGCCTCCTAGGAGGACTTCGTCAAAGACCGCGTACTTCCTGTTTATGGCAATACGCATACCCTGTCGACGGCGACGGCACGACAGTCCACCTTTTTTCGTGGCTTCTCATGCATTTAGCTCGTGAAGGCTGCAAGTATTGCTTGATGGAAGCCTCCTTGTGTTGTCATGCTGTGGCAAGTAAGCCCTGCAACCAGTGCCACATAGTTCCACTGTACGTGGCGGAGTGCCGCCGAAAGAGTTGCTCGCCAGCTTCTGTACATGAAGCACTATCAAATGTTGTTGACCGCACCGTGACACTCATAACCCAAGCCTCATCACTTTGCAGTCGCTGGGAGAGCTCCACTCGAGGAAACGAAGCCCGGCAAATCGTGAAGCATTATCTCAATGTGACTTGCCGGCAGTAGCACCAGCTGTGTCAAAGTCCCAGAGCCCGTTCGTTGGTCTTGTCTACCCTGAAGCGAGCCCGAATCAGGACAGTAGGTGAAAGCCAGCCACGGAAAGCATGCAACAGGCATGGCAATGCTTTGACCATCTTTTCTTTCCTAGTAGTCGTGGTTCCAGGCTCCGTCTAGCGCAAGACCAGAAGCTGCCTGCAGACGTTGTCCATTTCAGAAAAGTCACAGGCAACACATGAGGATGCCCTGATCTTCTGCGGAGCTGGAACAACAGGTGCGCACCTGTACATTCCCGTCACAGTCAATCGAAAGTAGTCCGCGAAGGGCAGTCTGCAGTCTCGAAGCCAGGAGCCGTGCAGAAGTTCGTGAGCATCATGTGCCGCGCTAACTGGCTACCAGCTTTTCAGGCTGGCCACGGACATGAAGCTTTTCTTGCTCTCTTGAGGGTCCGGGTTCTGGGGGCTTCCAGGAGACAGCAGCTCCCAGCGAGGGCGCTGACGTTTCAGCAGCTGGGATTGTAGAAGACAGCAGGAGGGCATGTCAGCACATGTGGTAGCGTAAGCCGAGGATGGCCACTTGAAGGAGGATCGTTGGGGCAGCTTCGAATGCACCCTGTGCGGAGTTCGCCTCAAGACGGTTCCTCGCCTGTGACCTGTGTTATGCATAGGGCTTAGGCCGCAGCCGTGCTTTGTCTGTCCAGTTGCCGAAAGCACGAGGAAGCAATGTACCGTGCGCACCAGAGCGGCGAGATGCACCAAGCCAAGCTGCGAGAAGTGCAGCCAAAGAATCCCTTTGAAGGCAGGCGCCCGGAATGACCCTGCAGAGACCTGGCGTGTTTCCCGCAGCCGGGCCTCTGCAGGCACTCGCCGCCTCGTCGTGTTCTGCGATGCGCTGGCGCACCACTCCTCGCTCCTACCCTTCCGGGAGCTGACCAAGCGTTGCCCGGCCCAGCCGTTGAGCCGATGTCAGCGCTTCGAGCGGCTTAGAGATGCTTTGGAGGTTATGTCCACGTGAGCACAGAGCCGTTGTTTGCCGACTCCATGCCTGGAGCCTGGTGGGCACCGGCAGGGCACCGGTCAAGGATCGCTTGTAATTCTTCTTTGTTGTGCGCAAGGAACTGAAGGGACTTCACTGTCATGCGAGCTTCCGATGCACATGTCATCGCAGAAGACCTTCTTGATGCTGTTCTTGATGCTGACGTGCTTATGCTGCGGTAGCCACGGGTCAGAGGACCAAAGCGCGCGTGCGGAGATGCTTGCACCCACTCATTTTTTTTCAGATTCTGGCAACGACCAAGGTGGAGCAGAGGCAAGACCTCAGACAGCAACGTGGAGCTGGAGGCCGATCAGGGTACTAGGTAGACAAACCAGCAACTCGTAGTGAGTTGATGCCTGGTGGCTAGCATCTGAAGATGCAGTCAGCAAGAGCAGCTACCGTACTGCGAAGCTGACCTTACTAGCATTGGGGGTCAGTGCGAGTTCTAAAGCCCAGAGTCCTAGATCCGGACAGTCTCGATGCAGACGCTTCGTGCCACGGTGGGTTCCTGGCTCAAGGGCAAGATCTGTTGACTCGGTCCGAGATTCCTGCCCACCAACCCACTCCAAGAGCCATGTTCTCACGCTTGTGCTTCAATGCGGTCACGCTTGCAGCTTTGACTGCCGCAGGACCCGGCCTCCGAGGCTTAACGAACACGAGCAACACGACTATGACACAGCGCTCTGCAAATGGCTGCGACTGCTCCTGGATTGCCAACGATGACTGCATCAACCAGGATCCCTGTGCAGTCTCCTGCCGCCAGTCGCACGGGTCGCCTTGCTCTGTTGGGGCTGCCGGTGGTGCAGCATGTCAGGCAACGTGCGATTCCAGCTTCGGCAGTTGCAACCGCTGGTGCCACATTCCACCTGGCGGCGGACCGTACTACACGGCCGAAGAGGAGGAAGCGCTGAAGGGCCAGATCATGCAGTGCGAGGGCAAGTGCACCGTGACGCGTGGCAACTGCTATCAGGGCTGCCGTTAGCTGTGGCCTGATGGACATGGTCTTCACGTGGGCAAATTTTGTTAGTGGGGTCCTGGAAAGCCGACCGTAAACCTGTTTGAACGGCTCGACCCCCAATTTGTGTTAGTTCCTTCGCAGACGACAGTGACGACCGAATAGCTGCAAGTGGCATCAACAGCGTGTCACTTGTTGAGTTACTCGCTCGGGATGGATGCACTCTGATGCAGGCACAAATTAGGTTTCCTGCCAGCAACACCTCTGACAAATGCAGGCGAATCGGGTTTAAATGTGTGCAGTTGCGAAGGTTTGCACCCTGCCGCTGGACAGCCGCACGGGGCTCTTGGATGAGAAGGCTACGGGGTGGGTTGCTTGAGAGAGGCCTTCGCTGACTGCCGTTGTATGCCGTTGTGACAGGAGCTCCTGGAGCGATTGGTGAAGGTGCAGTCCACGTGACTTGTTGCGCATCTGACACCTTGCGTGCAAGTGTGAGAGATGCCGCGATGCAAGGAAGGGGGCCGCCTCGATTTGTGTGCTGTCTGCAGCCTCCAACGTTACTGGGCTGCTGGCAGACGTGCCGGGACTGACGAGCCGAATCCACCAACACGGTCCGGGCCTGAACGACTAGTCGTTCAGCTCCAGCACGCTTCGCTTTCGACTCTCGTAAGGTGGGATCGCTTGTTGGGACTTTGCAGCGACTGCTGGCCACCTGCGGCCGGACTTGAACCCGCCGGCTTGGCAGCGTGGCTGAGAAATCGATGGCCCTCGACTGTCCGTGGCGTATGAAGGATCGCACAAGCCACATCCAGGTGACGAGTATGGGCAGTCTCTTTTCTGCTCTTGCACTCAGCTGAACGCATCTCTAACGTGAGGGGTTCGCGTGAATTTGGTTTCTTCGTGTTCCCGCTCGCAGTGTCCCACCCGACGATGGCATGAACGAGATCTAAGGCCCGATGCCTCGGTGGACGTCGCTTTCTTCTCGCCGCCGCTTGGCTGAGTACCGGCCGGGGCAGAGCTCCTCAGAGATCGTTGCATCCTGCAGGGTGATCGGTGCTTTGAAGTCCAGAAGGGGTGCTTAGCTTCTCACTGCGACCAGGCACAAGCTGCTGGGAGGCCCTGGCTCCGTGGGCCTGCTCCAGGTGAAGAAGAGGTGCCCTTTGCCTTTTCAAGTTCTTGGGCCGGTAGAATCTAGAATCTAGAAGTCTATGACACACCATCCCCAAGTACGTGCTGAATCCCGGAACAAGCACTGAAAATCACAGAAACGGTGATGGGCTGTGCGGTTGGGGTGAGGCTCCTGCGAAATGCGGTGCCGGCAGTCCCTGGTGGTGGTGTTGTGTTCTTCGTGGACCAGCAAGGAGACTCACTCCAACGTCGAAGAAAGCGGTTCGCAGTTCACCCTGTCTCTTACCTCCTTGCCTTGCAGGCCACTCTTACATTCAGAACGCGGAAGATCGCGAAGAAGCCGGCACCCCTGACATTGTTGGCTGCATCCGTACAGGCGGGATCCACAGTCTGTTGTATCCGTTCTCAATGATCTGTCTGCATGCTGATGAAGTGGAGCAGCCCCCTGTCCGTTTAGGCTTGGTGTATCACTTGCACACGCTGCTCCCCGAGCAGATGATAGAGGTCATGCAGTCTCAGCGTTTCCTGTTCACTTTTTCAACCTTTGTTTTCGGTGGAGGTAGAGCACCGCGGCCTCCGCGTGTTGTTGGACAGATGGGCATTGCAGCCACGTGCCTGGGCTTGAGGTATGTGGGAATGGAGGGGTAAGTTGTATGTTATTGGTGTTGCTGCTTCCGAAGTGCCCAGGTATTGAGGTGCTGGGCAAGATGGAGACTGGACAGAACCGCGCAGCTATCGTGTCGTTCATGATCCGCTACGGGAACAAGCCGAGTGGCGGGTTGTATCTGCACTACAACTACGTGGTGGCCTTGCAGCTAGGCGGCAAGGTGAGGATGTTTCTGCAAGCTGTCGTGAAGGGTCGCTGTGAAGACGGCCAGCACGGCGCAGTGGTCCCAGGTTGAACGATCTCTTCGGCATCCAGGCAGACTTTGAGTTGGCCCGGAACCAGGAACCAGGAAAGCAAGCGCCCTCTCTGCAGGCTCGAGGAGGCTGTGCCTGTGCCGGGCCCTACGGCCAAAAGCTGCTGGGCATCGACGCAGACTTGGCACGAAGCTTCGACGAGGAGCTTTTTAAGCCTTTCCGACCTTAGACCCTCAGGGAAACTGGGATTCCCCCGGAACATATCGGGGTCCAGCCAGGCGCTGCTCCGGTCCGCCCAGGAAGTGCTTCGACCAGGCCCGGCCGTGGCCAAAGCGGTGCTAAAACACTCTCTGCTAGCTCTGCTAGCTGCTAGCTCTGCTCCAGGCTTCGTTCGACTGGGCGTTCACTTCACAATGTCAGAGAAGGACGTGGAGCTCCTAGCCTCCGCAGTGGCAGCTTGGTTGACAAACAGCTCTCACTCTCACCTCAAGTTGGCTCGAGACTTGTGGCTGAGGAGTGGATAGCAACGAACGGCTGGCGGCTGCTGCCAGCATACAGCTTCTGCGTTGAGACGGGCGAGTGGTACCACCGTTTGGCCACCCCACAGCAGGCCTGGAGAGCAGCATTGCCATGGGACATCATGGGACTCCTGTTTCGCTGATGTGTTCGAGAGATGTCCAGGACCGGGAGTGGCTCTCCAGCTTGGTGCCCCCAGTGCTGCAAAGCAGCCCCTTGCGAGAGCTTGAATCCAGCTTGGGCCGTGCGAAGGTGCGAGGGATCGCAAAAAAGAAGGTGAGCAGATGGCTGCAGTTACCCGATGTGCGACGGGCGAGGACAGCGCTCCGCCCGAAGATGTGCTGGCAGCTGCTGATGCTGCCTTGGCGACAACATTCAAAGGCTGGGCTTGCGGTGCATCGTAGACTCTTGCTTGCAAAACCTTGCAGTTGCAGCGGCGCCACCAGGTGAGAATCCAATCCCACTGTCCTCTACCAAATGTCCGCTCCTGGATGCCGAGTATGCCCACCTGGTAGCTTGGTACATTGATGTGCCTATGTTCTCTTCGGAGGGCGCGTGCTTGGTTTCTTGACATTTGGCTTCCTCAGCATTCGCCCGAGTTCCGAGACAGACATCCTAAGACCTGGTTCGCCCTGCCCACGGATGCTGCTGCCGCGCTGAGAAGCGATGTGCCGCCGCTCCTAGATGCAGAGGGCGCCGTGTTCACTGCGGCGAAGGCCGATGGAAGCCCTTTAGGTGCTGGAGTGAAAAAGGGGAGGAAGGGGGAGCGTTGTGCAGCACGCGAGGTGGTGGAGCGCCGGGTGCTTAAGGAAGCGTCGAGGAATTCCCATGAGACGCAGCTTTACGCGATTTTTTTAGATCCAGGTCCGAATTCCTCTGCGTTTGCAGTGGTGGCCGAAGCCACTGCCGAGTCGACCTCGGCCGGGTCGGAGCCAGGCAGAGTTCGAACTCGTCATACCACGGCTCAGATCAAGGCAATGCCAGCTCACCACACCTGCCGAAGTTGTCGCGTCATGGAGGTGAAGGTTCTGCATCGCCGCCAGATGCTGACGAAGATATCGTGGCCTTCGAGTTCGGGTGCGACGAGGACTCGGGTTGAAAACGAGGGCCAGTAGTTTTGATGGTGCTGGGGCCCTGCCGGGGTGGGGGCATGTGGGGGTTTCGGGTTTGGTGGTTGCGGTGACTGCAGTTGTCGTGTGTTTGATTTTATTCACTCCTGTCAGAGACCACCTGTGGGACCATTCCAGACATCTGCATGCTGCGGGCGAGCCTAACTATTTCGGTCTTGACTTTCAGGCTCGTGGGTCGAGATTACGGTTAGCGAATTCGCGCCCGTTTTGGATCAAAGCTTCGACACCCGACTTTGTATATCATGTTTCAAGCGAGGGAAGTGACAAAGATGAGTAAGCTGAGGAATAAGTTCAAGACGAGGGTGATAGACGATGACAGTGACGATGACGACGATAGGGTGTGACGTTGATGTCGACCAGAAGGCTGACCGCGACTATGAGTTTGTATCGCGAGCTAACATTGAAGGCGGTGACTCTCATTTGGCTAGAGCCCGGGTGTTGACATTTCCAAACCAACAAGAGAACAGGTTGAAACAGTATTTCCGCGGTGAGCTGTTCTTGACCTGAAACTGTGGAGGTTAAGCTAGAGGTGCTAGTGTAGTCCGTAGCTGCATCCAGGATGATGGCAGCATTGCTTTGGCTGACGGAGCTTGATCCTGGAATAGCAAGCATACTTCTTTTCTTTGTCAATGTATACAGGCCTGCCTTCTTTAGGTTGTGATGCTGCTCATTCGCCCACAATCGAGGCCCGACTCCATCGTATCCAAGCACTGCTCTGGCCCCGAAAGTGCCGAAATCGCTCCGCAGCCAAGTCGCTGGGGGCATCAAGGAGTGACTCGGTTCCCATCACCCTCCCCGTATGGTACGTGCGTCGTGAATGCGAGAGCGCTCTATAGTCTGCCAGAGCTCCGTCATGAGCCGAGAGCTGTCAGGTATGACATGATCCGAGAAGGCGATCGTCTCCTCGTGGGGCTTTCTGGTGGCAAGGACGCTCAGAGAAGGGCTCAGAAATTGGAAGGGAGCAGCTTGTATTTCCGCAGGACAGCCTGACCATGCTCCATGTCTTGCTGGAGCTGCAGCGGCGATCTCCTGTAAAATTTCAGGTTGCTGCGGCAACCGCAACTTGCAGAAAACAGATTTGGAATTGGTCGACATTAATGCGGATGTCCTGTTGTACTCCCGCATCATCTTGAGGTAAATCCCGAAACGCCCGAGTTCTCACCGCAGCCTCTCATCGAAGCCTAGCCGCACTTCAACTTCGATCGCCATGCTGTGGGGCTTGCGTCCTTTATTGCCAGGATTACATGAAAGCCCTTGGTGTCACCTATCACTTCCTCTCCAAACCGTTGATCGAGATGGCGAAGTGTCACCTTGACCCGAAGAAGCCTTCCATCTGCTACCTGGCAGCTGCTAAAACTGCTTCAGAGGACATGCTCCGCAGACTCAGCACTGAAGCCATGATCTTCCATGGGCCTGATGGAGGTTCCTTTTGCGCACGGATGAAGCGCGGTATGTTGTTCCCCGGCGGGAAATTGAACTCGCACCGTGTTTTCTGCAGTGGGGATGACGACCGCGGTTCGAGATTCTGCTGCGTAAGTCAGGTACACTTGCATGCGTGAGAACGGCTACAATGCTGCTGGGCTGGTCTTGCTAGCACAAAACCTGATTCGAAGTTCGGATTGGTATAAAGTATAAAGGCAGGCAGGACTGTCTGTTCACACCAGCACGCGTGTACTGGGCAGCACCACAGGTTCTTTGTCTGGGGCAGTTTCTGGGCGGCATTGGATAAAACGGTTGCGTACCGGCTTCTTGGGTATCACAGGAAACAACAACGTCTGGCTCAAAGGCACCTAGATGACTTCGCCGAGTCCTTTCTGATGTCGGCTTTTCGGAACGGCTCCCTCAGGACCATGAAGGCATTGCACTCATCGGCTCGTCGCGAGTTTGGAGAGTCGCCAGCGTTCGAGCTTTGGTGGTGCAGGCGAACTATGCTGTGGCAGCGAAAGACCTGCGCGTTTGCCGACCGTTGGTGCACGTGCGAGAGAAGACACTTGCCCAGTTCGCCAAAGACAACAGGTGCGAAGCAGCCGTGAAGCAGTCTGCAGAACTCCGAGGGACGTTGCCCTGAGCATGCGAGGCTGCCGGTGATCGCGGATAACTGTCCAGCTTGCTTCGCTGCACCGAAAGAGCGTCACCGCCGCGAGCTGAAAGCTGAAGCCGCCATCGGAGCCGCACTGCCACTGCCCAGCTGCCAAGGCATCAAGTTGATGCTGTCGCAGCAGGAGTTCGAGCACCCGGATCTTTTCTGGTCCTTGAGCTCCTGCATGAAGCCTCTGATGTCGATCTCGCAGACAGAGAAAAGCATGGCAGCTCGACGTTGCAACCGAGACTATTTCTCTGAGACACCTAGTAGTGTCGTTGTGCGCACCTCTCCGAGGACTGGTGGCGGCAGGTCCTGGCCGCAGACGAGGCAGGTCGGAATGTTGGTGCCTCTTGCCTTCCAGGCAGGGCTCTGTGGTTGCCTGTCTGTCCCCAGGATGAAGACGATGCAGCGCCGCTTTCTGAGGTGAAGCCTGCGGAGGGAGACAGACAGGCACGCTGCTGCCAGGACATTAGGAACGAATCGACTTCGCCGCAACGCTTGTTTTTTCACTGAACCTGCGATAACCTGCGAACCGTCGCACCGTGACAGATCGTGACGGCGGTGTGTTGTCAGGAAGCCTGTGCGGACAGCGCCAGCCCATCCCGAGCGGATCAGGCAGATGTGTGTTTTCGTTTGGATTTGATGCCCGTGTGTATCTGCGGAGTCATGCGTTGCGTTGCTGGAGGGGGCACGGCCACACCCTGGAAAGCTGGCAGCGGTCGCTTGCGCATCCGCTCTCTCGGGAGCCTTGGTGATGTGGCTTGCAGTCCGGCCAAGAAGGTGAGTGCGGAACGAAAAAAACCTAGTGCGCAGCCGCGGCTAGATGAATCGAAGTCTGTGGGCGTCACAAGGCGCAGCCGATGCCACGTCGCAAAACTGTTGCTACGTTCTTGGATACTGTTGGATCAAGGTTCTTCTTAGTTTAGAGTTTAGAGTTGCTCTGCCTCGGATCGTAGCTGAGCTACTGTCAGTTATGGCATCCAGCAAGGGCGACTCACACCATCGAAAGCTCTGCGTGTTCATGGTGGCCTGCTCTATTCCAGAACGACTTTTTAGATAAAGTTTTCTGTTCTGAAGTATCGTGACATCCTCTTGAAGTGGACTCATCCAGGCTGCAGTTGAGGAGAATCCCAAGGACACATCGCTGCACACAGTCAGTCTCATAGCTGATGCACGTCTTCAATGTTCGTGCATTGCATTGCGGCTTTGGTAGCACGTGTTTGCCCAAGAGCTGGTTTCTCCCCTTCGGTCGCGAGCCCGATGCGAGCAAGGTTCAGAGTTCGGACCAGGCCCAGTAGCAAAGAGAAAGTACATTGGGGTGTTTTCTGCATAGCGGGGCAGCACGGCAGCAGCTCTCCGATCTGAAGCTGAGATCTCGCTGCTTCAACTAAATCGAGTTGATGTGTATTGTGAATCGTGAATCAAGTGCACCCATAAAGAGTTGCAAGGAGTTCAGCGAGTTCATCGATCGGAAAAGGGCGCTTACGGAGCTCCGCATCGCTCATCAGGAGAGCCCGATGCTCTCCAGCAACAGCAGCAGGTCCCAACGGGAGGGCTTGGGTGGACCCTGCTTGTTGCTTGAGCTTCGGCCAAACCTCTCGTCAGGTCCGGTGCAAGCAGCAAAAGCAGCACCTCTACCGGGGAGTATCGCAGGACACATATCATCCAGCTCTGAGCAAATCGGAAATGCGTGGCTCGGACAACTCGCTCGCCCTGGCTCGTCGGCTTCTCCGAGGTACGTGCTTTTGGCTGCCAGACCATGAGAATAGTGTCTATCTGGTAGAGCCAACTGGCCGGGTGCGCTGAGTGAAAAACATTGCTTGCGAACTGTATGCAAGCAATGTGGACTGAGTGCATCTGCGCGAAGACTACGATGAAAGCAATAAACGGTTGTTCAAACACCAGAGCACCTGACCTCGTGTCGCAGCTCTGCACTTTCCCAGTCTGAGGGCAGACCCGGGACTGGAAAAGCATGGCGGGGCTTCTTTCGTGATGGCAGCTGGAAGACCAGCAGCCTTTTGGTTTTGCTCTTGTCATGTCTGCCCCCCCGCTGGTTCCCGCTGATGGAGTCATCGAGGAAGGCGGGGGCATGGCGGCGGAAATCGTAAAGGACCCACGAACTCACGAACAGTGGCCAGAGCACCAGACGAAGGCGGTAGTCGGAGCCAACCCTCGAGTGCATTGATGTTATTCTAGTGCGGCGTCAGTGTATTCTGAAATGCATTGGAACGCCTGAAACACCCAGAGTCCAAGTCTAGAGAGCTTTTGTTTGGAAATTTCTGGCCACAGCATACTCGCATTGCTGGATTCGGGCTGTGCAGGCATCGACAGAGTCATTCGCGGACGGGTATGCCGAGCTCGCGACTGTCGATGTTCGGGTTGGGGGTCATGAGGCTTAGAGGGCCAATTATGTGGAGCTGCTTTTGCACAGGGCATGTATAGTCGAAGAAAGATACGTAGTTCCCGAGAAAGCAACAGGGCATAACAGGGCAGGCTGCTTTGACATTCTAGTCTTTTGAGGGCCTAGGCATGTGGCTTCATTCTTCGAGCAAACGTTGGTCATTTATAGTGCCGGTCGGGCAAAACTGACTTTTTGGGCAAACCTCAAGGTATGGAAAGCGTGTGCGAAAGCAGGAGACGACACGCATTTATAGAAATGCTCCGAGCGAAAGCAGGGAAGCGAGATTACAAAGCAGTGAAGCATTTCGATGCAAACTGCAGGGCTGCGGCTTCAGATGTTTAGGTTCTTAGAAGTGCACCCGTTTCCAGCCAAATGAGGGAGTCCAGTTTTCTTCTCACTCTCATTGTGCCATAATGTTGATGCAGTGAGTCGGTATTTGATACAGCGGAAGCTCCACCACGTTCGTCTGTTTCTACTACCTATTGCAACGATAGCCACAGACACATTAAGATGTCATTTCTCGTAGTGCTGATGCTTCCCAGATTCATTACGTTTTTCCAGCCAGGGGTGCCAGTGTCCTCCGTTCTCCGTGTCATAAGAGGGCAGCACCTCTACACAAGACTTCAGTTGGGCTCCGACGAGCTGCAGCAAACACATCGCGCTCGTAGTACTGCAAGTGGCATTAGCCGGAGGCAATTTCCAGCTTCAACTTTGAATGATGTAAGTCGGGTTCAAAGCGGCAGGGAGCATGCCAAGTTGCTTACTTTACCTTTGCTCTGCGGCAGCAGCGTTTGCCGGGAAGACTCTACGTAACTTTAGGCATTTCCCTGCCGCGCGCCGGATTCTGTTTGGTACGATGAACCGATAACTACTGACGGCTCCGGTGGCGGTGCTGGAATGCTGAGGTACCCTCTTTAACATCCGGGTACTTGCATGGCCACAGGTTGGATGGTGTTGATGCAGCAGGTTGCTCAGCAGATCTTCGTTTGCATTATCCTTGAAATTATCCTCGATATCATCTTCATGGCCTGAAGCTTCCTACGTCACCGTGGGGCATCCTTCTGACTCTTCAGTGTTCCTGCCGACTTCGTAAACTTGGTTTCAACTTCCGATATAACCCTCCAACATAATCCCGACCCGGCGTTTACCGCTTGAGGGATGGTTGGAAACTACTGTGAAGCCAGAGTCTCAGAGGTTTTGCCAAGGCTGCTAGCATGACCATCATGATCATGAATGGCGTGTCTTGATTATACAACGGATCGTGCTAGTGTTCCACTCTGTGGCTTATGCGCTAATCATGGCCCACCAAATCTTTTCTTATTCCAGCGTTTTGGCTAAGTTACGGTCTGCGACGATGCGGCCGAACATCGCAGTACATCTGCACCAAAACTGCATGGATAATTAAATTGCCAAGGCTTTGGGTCAGGTAATTGCCTGTCCCGTACAGTTGAGCCTTTGAGAAAAAGGTTTGCACATTAAGCTGTCGCTGTCTTTCGGCCGTCTGCATGGCCTTGCATGGCTTGTGAAGCTGCCCGAGAGAAATGCAGGTCAGGTAGAGAGAAACCCCGCTTCCTTGGCTGCAGAGCTGTGAGCCCCACTCCATAGAGCCTGGCCACCTGCCATGACCGAGCTTGGCGAGGTAGGATGCCGAAGCGATCCATGTTTTTGAGCCGGACATGCAGGATCGGGTTCGAAAGTGTATTTGGAACTGCGAGGCACTGGATTCCGGCTCAGAAGCCCTCGAGCAAAAGCAGGATCACGAGGCCAGCTCAATGAACACAAGTCGGGGTTGAAATCCAATGCAGGAGGCTTTGTGTCAGTTGAAGGAAATGAGTTGGGATGTGACGGAGACCAGCAAGCCAATCCAGAGATTCAGCTGACATTATTCCAGAATCCGGAAGGAGATGTCGCTTCCAGGGGTCCCACCGCAAGGTGTGGTTGGAGAGCACCGGATAGCACGACTTTGACAGCCTGTTCCGAGTGCCGCAGACCGGGAGCGCCTGCGAAGTGAGCAAGCCTGGGCAAGCTACCAGGCTCCCTCTGCATTAGGAGAGCTTCACAGTGCTCTTGGCTTATGCCAGGCCTTCTTGACGATGCCCGGGGACAGGTGCACGCAGTGTTGGCTGATGAGGCTCTGACCACGGGAGCAAGTCCTCGCAAGACTGATGCGGACGACAAGATGTTGGATTTCATGTTTCATGCTGCTTCGTCGCTGGCAGGAAGCACTGCTGTTGCAAAGGGCTGCCGCGGTCGCTGGGCTGCCCATCCATGCGTCCACATCCCTAGGCCCCAGCACTGTCAGAGGGAGGCCTTGCCTGCCTGTGCGGCAGCTTAAGGATAGAAACCCGCCTTCGAGTTTACGTCTTGATGCACCGATTGGAGATCGGCCAAAGCCAGGAACCCAGCTCCGAAACGAGCCAGTGTGCGAGCACCGCTTTGGGATCGCTTTTGTAGGAAAGGCCTCGAACACTGCCAAGCTTCTCAAGCACTTTGGCGCCACGGCCTCATCAAAACCCCCTCACTTTCTGACGCCCGCTGTGCGAAGTTAGGCGGAGCTCTTGTGCTGGGGCGTAGAGGAGCACGACGCGAGGCCAGAGATGGCCGGAGACCTCGCAGCTGGTCCTAGCGTGCATCATTACCTTAGGCTGCAGCAGCTGCTCGTGGACGATGAGGAAGGCACCGTGGTGCTCTTCCCAAGCCACTCGGCCAAGATGCATCGGGCTGCAGAAATTGGGCCGAAAATGGGGGCTGCTTGCTCGGTGTGCCCGAAGACTGCTCCATGCTTCCAGTGAAAAGTGTGGTCTCAGACTCGGCGCTTTACAAGTGAACGCGACGTGTCATGGGCTGGCAATGACTTCAGCTAGTGAAGCAGCAGCCAGCTGGCACTTTGGCCAGGCTTCTTTGTTCCCCACTCAAAAAAATCGCATGAAGTCGCTACAGTCCTCTCCCCACATTTCGTGCTCCCGCCACAGTGTGGTGCACATTGTGAACTGATGAAGTGGTCTTCGGACCAGAAGTACAGAGGTGGAAGCCTCTGCCATACGCCCAATCTGCCACGAGAAAGACGACGGCGGCACCACGAGCTTCGCGCGGAGGTGGAGTTGGGATCGAGCGCCGGTAACCCGCGCCGCAGAAAGACGTCGTATGTCACCGAGGCACAAAGTTGTCGTGCGGGCCATCTTCAGCTCGGGGTCGCAGCGATTGTGGTGATGATCAAGATGCTTGCAGGATTTTGTATCTCTTAGTGAGTCTTGAAGCAGAATATTGTGTGCGACATGCATATGTTAGTGCATTGAAGGTTGCAGGCACGTGGGAGTTTCTGTTGATGCCGGACGTGCTTCCGTAGCACTCACAGTGAACCTGCATTGAGGTCCCGATGCTGTGGAGGCACGCAGGTCAAGACAAGTCAACACCACGCGCTGACGGCAAGAACTCCGGCCAGGCAAGCAGTTTGGCCGCGGCGCCGCGGCAAGTGATTGTCCTGGACGGCGGATGGCGCGAGTTGAGCCCTAAGAGGTGTCGAAGGCAGGTCGGTCCACACGTTTTCATGGGCACTGGTGGAGCACTTGCTCCAGTCTAGAAAGTTCGAAGGTTACCAACTTAGTCTTGAAGCAACACCAATGGAGTTGGGAAATTGGCAGAAGTTGCCAGTCAATTTATCCAATCATGCCTGGGGCCAAGGTGTGTTCGGATGAACAGCTGGATCAGCCAGATGCCCTATGTAGGGCGCAAGGAGTTCTGCTGCACGAGGATGCGTCTGGTAGCGGATGGCGAAGAGGTGCGGCCGCAGAGGTTCGGCTTCTTCGGCCTTTTCATGTACTCCAGCATGTGCGAAAAGTATATAACTTATGCCATGAGGCAATTAGTCATGCTCGGCCAGTCGCTTGTCGTTTGGACTTTAAACGCCTCTGGAGAAACAGGGCAGAAACACGGCAACCTCAGAACCGCAACGAATTACACCCTCCTTGCAGAGCCTTTTCGAGCCATGGCCAAAGTTGCCAAAAGCCAAGTTCCGACAACTACACCCGACGCTAGCCAGCACAGCCGTGTGTGGAAACACCTTCTCTCGTGCAGCTTTCGGTTGTTTCGGAAGCCGAGGTAGAGCTGGCTCAGGTGCAAAAGGCAGGTTGCACAAGCTGTCCATTACAGTCCTTTGTGCTTCCTGCCTTTTGCAGCAGCATACTGGAAGGCCATAGCGGACCTGGAGAGCAAGTTGCACGAGGCCGCATGCGGCAGGCACATTGTGTGCGGTTTGCGGCTAGGGACTGAGCCCAGGTCCAACACATTCACAGCATTGTTGAATTCGATGCCAACGCGCTTTCAGCTCCACGTGCCGCAGGAGCCTCAGCGAAATGACTCCTCATTGGCTCCTCGGTCACAGCAGACAATAAGTTTAGCTCGCTACCAGGTGCCCTCAGAACGCCGCGACCCACGCCTAACTCTGGCACCGGGTGGCGCGGCAGCGCTCGCAGCGGAGGTGGCAGAGGTCGGCGACCACCGGAAGCCTCCAGTGTCTGTGGCTTTTGTGGATGCCGTGAGGAGTTGAAAGCTTGGCGGAAGCGGAGTGGCAGCCTTACGCGCACACAGAGCTGCTGCATCCAGTTGCACACAGCTCTGACATACGCTTTGCACTTCAGGAGAGGACGCTTACTCTCAAAGACGCCGCGTACATGAAAAGCGGCACAGGGATGCTGTGCTTGCCAAGCAGCAGGAGGAAGAGGACATGTCTTAGAGTTAAGGCGGCGTCTTTGGCATGGAGTCCCCAGACCTGGAGCATGCGCTAACTCATTTCCAGCTTCGCAAGGACAAACAGATGGTGCGCGCATTTCTGCGCGATGCCATCCTTGACACAGCCAAAGCGGAATTGGCAGGCTGTATGCGGATGTCGTGAAGGTTGCAGCTCTACAGCGGACAAAACAGTAGCACGCTTTGCCCAGCTCGGAGGATCGCCGAGGAGCCTTACGTCCCGCTTCCATGGAAACAAAAGGGGCAGTCCAAGCCCAAGCCTGCAGGAAAGGGGGAGGAGCGAAAGATCCGAGGGCAGCGGAGTCTCTCAGAAGCAGCGGCTCTCTCTGGGCATTGGTCGTCTTAGCTGCCCTGAGGCTCGGAGACCATGCCCACGTCTCTTCCGGTGCCACAGCCCTGGCCTCTCTGCGCAACCATCTGGAGGGCGTGGTAGAACACTTGGAGGCGTTTGCTGTGTGTCGCTGTCGCCTTTGCTCTGCAATGTGACTTCTGCCAGAGGCGATGGAGGTGCCACTACCGACAGAGATGGCTCCTTGGCAAAGAAGGCATCACACACGTCCCTTGAAGCCCATAAGGCCTCATAAGGCCTTGCTGGCTGAAAGGCACGTGGCTCTGATGGTTGTTCGCGTAGGTAGATGGATGGGGTCGTGCCCGAGATGAGCCCGTTTTGGTAGTCAGCAAAGCCAACGTTGTCTTTGATGATCTTGTTAGGTGCATGCTGCTCAGTTCGCAAGCAGCGCGCTGCAGAGGAAACGAGCCTTCCTTGCAGCGAAGCTCTTCATGATACTGGCAGTCAGGAGTTCACCGCTTTCACCGAGGCGAGCGCATCAAGCCAGCTTTGTTGAAGCAGAGGTTTGCAGAGGCGACCAACACTGCGCCTCGCACGCAAAGTAGAAAAGAGCAGAGTAGGGGTAGTAGGGGGTGTCTCCTGCACATGAAAGCGAGATTCGAGCTGTGGCCCCTATTCGAGCTCTACGATTCAAGCACTGGCGATTCAAGCACCCGCGAAATGCACTATGGTTCGAGCAATGTGGTTCGTCACCAGTTCAGGCACTGCCGATTGAAGTGCCGACCTTGATGCGAGCACGCGCCATTCCATGCAGCACTCGACGGCAGATGTGAGCACTCGAGATTCAAGCTCCGGCGATTCGAGCACCAATGTGCGATTCAGCCACCACCGCGTAGTCTCCAGCTCCCTCGTGACTCCTTTTCAGGTTTCGACCGCTCCTGTACTTCCAGGGTCTAGGTTTTGCACCTGCCATCATCTTCCGAGCCCTCCCTTAAAA